GGTCATAGCTCACTATGACTTAGTTACAAATATCTTTCTTTTCTCTTACAGATGATATGTCGCAGTAATAGTTTTGTGTTGATAACAACGGAGTTATCGTCATTTATACAAAAACAAATAAATCCCCACTTACCAATTTTGAATGGAATCGGACCAAATCTTGTCCGCCATCTTGGGGCAGCCATTTTTTTAATTTCATCAAAAAATTCCATAACTCCGATCAACTTGAAATTTGGCAGGTGTTTATAATTTCGGTGACAAGACATTATGGAATTTTTGTTAAAATCAAAAAAAATGGCTGCTTCAAAATGGCGGACAAGATTTGGTCCGATTCCATTCAAAATTGGTGGGTGGGGGTTTTTGAGGTCGGAGATCATGATTTTTTGTTGAAATTTATAAATTCAAGATGGCAGCTTCCAAATAATTTTTTGTTTTTGTATAAATGACGATAACTCCGTTGTTATCAACACAAAACTATTACTGCGACATATCATCTGTAAGAGAAAAAAAAGTTATTTGTAACTAAGTCATAGTGAGCTATGACCTGCATTTGAAAAACTGAAGTTGATGCTGATATCTCAAATTCTAGAAGAGTTGGTATAAATTTCATATTTATTTTAAAATCTCTCTGGAAAACTGCCATGAGAATGTGAAATTCCTATTTGAATAAAATAAAGAAGTTACGGAGGAGACATGAAAATGATCAAAATCTGTTTTTTGTGTATAAAACAAAAACGAATAGATTTTATCGAAATATTTTTTCACATTATAGTTGGCCTTGACAAACTCCACATTTAGTGTCATTCAACCGACCTCGTATCTCTCACCGTTAAAAAGATACCCATGGTAAGTGGGACACACTGTATACAAACCTTAAGATTTTTTGAATCTCGTATCATTATACAAAACTTCTTGTTAGCAAATGATTATTATTACAACAAATGTTGGCTTTCGAATAACTATCTACTGATATTCAATTAGAACAAATACAGGGTGGTTCAGGAATCAGAATGCGGATCACCCTGTATTCGTTCCAATTCTGTCAGTAGATAGTAAATTAAAAAATCCTCAAGTTGAGAGATCTCGATTTGGAACACCCTTTATCTCGAAAACGGATTGACTTGGGTACAGGGAAAGCCAATGAGGCTTATCTCAAAATACCATGAGGAATATGATAAGTTAAGTTAACTGGTGGCGGTGCGCTATGATGTATGTAAAATTACGACATGCTCTACAAGTGTTGAGTTATAATTGAAAATTGGTAATAAGTATTCCGTTTAGACAGATCATAGTTAAAATTATATACTTATTAGGATAATAAGGGATGCGGACAAACTGAAAAAACACCAGGACAGAAAGAAATTTGATTCATAACAACCGATATCCTACGATTAATAATAATAATAATAATTTATTCACTCACGTTACAAGTACAATGTGAGCACATTCATAGAATCGCGAATTGTGAATAAATTGAAAATACTTACGAAGCAGGGCAAGTCTGCTTGTGTGTAAGAATACATAGATATCAATCAATATTACAATACATTATGTTCATGAGTGGAAATAATGATTATGGATATACAATAGGATGATGTTGGTTTAAAATATATATGTAATAATAATAATAATAATAAAGGTTTTTTATTGAACAGGAAGACATATAACATAGAGAATAATTCCATATACAGTAAGCAACCCTGATTATATATACATATGTTATTGTTGGTCCACCTGTCAATTGGCAGGGTTCAAAAGGTGCCCTAAGACAAATTTTGCTCTTCCACCCAACCGTACTATTTCAAATAAACAATTCTTCTTCACAAATCTTCACAAATATGAGAAAATATAAGTATAAGTATAGAGTGAAAACAATAAAAAAAAATAAACAAAGAGAAGAAACTAATCAATGATAATCAGTAATATGCAAAGCAAAAGTTAAATTGAAGCAAGCTCATAAGTATTCATCATAAATCGAAAGTATAAATAAGTATAAATGTATAAATAAGTATAAATGTATAAATATTTTCATTTGTAATATTGTCTACAAAAAATAACATAGAGTTATTTATCAAATAAGTTACGGAGTTTGCCATTCAGAAGGTCTTTTTTGAGAGTTTTTTTGAACGATTGTAAGGACAAGTGCTTGTACTGGTCAGGAATCCTGTTATAAAGCCAAGGTAAGTGAAAAGAAAAAGATCCACGAAATTGAGCTGTGCGGTGTTTAGGAGAGGTAAGTTTGAATTTGAATCTCAAGTTTAGGTTGTGCAAGTCTGTTCTGTATTTAATCTTGTTATACAAGTATGATGGTTTTTCGGATCTAATTATCTTATGAAAAACTACTGCCGAGTGTAGAATACGCCTAGCCTCCATGTTCAACCATCCAATGGTGTTCAGATGGTGAGACACATGATCTCTTCTTCCCGCGCCCGTGATGAAACGAATACAAGAATTCTGCAGTTTTTGCAATCGGTATTTATCTTCCTTCAGGAGACATGGCCCATAAATAGCATCAGCATAGTCAGCATGTGAAAGAACTAAGGAGTTGCATAATATAATTTTTATCTTTCTACTCATCATGGCTCTGTTTGCATAGAGAATTTTAAGGTTACTAAATCCTTTTTTGATAATGGATGAGACATGGTTTTTATATTTCATGGACACCTCCAGAACAAGACCAAGATTCTTGCTGAATTGCTTGACAGGCAGTTGGTCATTATTGATTTGAATTGCATTCATGGGATTGACTCTATTTCGAGCATTCTTGTTACCAAATAACAGAACTACTGATTTTGTTGGGTTCATTGTGAGGCAATATTTATGAGATATCATCGAGAGAGATTCTAGATCTTCATTCATTTGAGCATAAGCTTCGTCTGCATTGTTTTCACTGAAGGAGTGGTATAATTGTGTGTCATCTGTATAGAAATGTGCTGTTGAGTATTGCAGGCTTTTGTGAAATTGAGAAGTGTAAATTATAAAGAAAAGTGGTCCTAGAATAGATCCTTTAGGCACACCATTCAATACCATGAGATAGTCAGATTTTTTTTCCTTTATAATTACAGATTGCTGCCTATTCGACAAATAATTCTCAACGAGGCTCAAAGCAATAAAAGATAACCCAAAATATCGCAAAATAGCCAGTAGGAGTGCATGACTGATCCTGTCGAAGGCTTTAGAATAGTCTAGTAAAGTTAAAATTGTAAGATTGTTCTCATCGATTGCAGCATGAATGTCATCAGTTACTGTCAAAAGTGCGGTTGTGCAGCTGTGGTTTGGGCGAAAGCCAGACTGGCTCAAGGGTAAGCAATTTGAATTATTCAAATGCTCCCTGATTTGTAAATTCATTATTCTTTCTAAGACTTTAGACATGGCACACAAAATGGTTATAGGGCGAAGATCTGACATTTCTTCTGGCTCTTGTTTTTTTTGTAACGGCAGAACTTGAGATTTCTTCCATAATGATGGAAACTCTCCCAATGCTAAACAGTGATTATATATATGTGTGAGGTAAGAAATTATGAAGGGGCAGCTGTATAATATCATTTTGATACTGATCTCGTCTGCGCCTACAGCATTTGATTTAATTGCTAAAATATGTTTATAAACGTCCTCGTCGTTGGTGCGCCTGAACGAGAAGTCTGGTGTATTGATAGATCTATTTTGAGTAAAGTATTGTAACGTATCATCATCAGGCGTTGAGCTGGCACCAGAGACATTGACAAAAAAATCATTAATCTGATTGACATCATTAAGGTGATCAGGTATTGGATTTTGATTTTTCTGTTGAATGCCAAGGTTTTGAGTGACTTTCCATAAGTTGTTCGCATTCAATCTTACTTCATGTTCCAAATATGCACGTTGTTCAAGTTTCAAAGTTCTATTTGTTAAATTTCTCAATTCTTTGTAATAATCATAGTGATGAGGAAGTTTCGTTCTCTTAAATCTGGTAAGAGCTTTATCTCGTAAAGACATTAGTAATTGAAGATTATCTGTTAGCCAAGGAGCTTTTTTCTTTGTGATTCTGACTGTTTTCACCGGCGCATGTAAATTGAAATTTTGTATGATACTCTCACAAACAATTTCAATCTTCTTATTGATATCATTGGTATTAAATATTCGATCCAAATCAGTATTTGTCAAGTCTCGATAGAAATTATTATAATTGAAATTTTTGAAACACCTATATTCATGAAGAAACGGTTCAATTTTAACTTTGTTCATGGAAATCTCACAAGTAACGAGTAAATGGTCGCTGAAAGAGGAGCAATCTATTGTTTTTATATTATGGTATTTTAAATTATTGGAACAAATTATGAGATCTAATGTTTTGATACTTGTTGGCCCAATTCGAGTAGGTTGATTTATTATTTGTTTCATATCATATGTTTCTAGTAAATTGGTCAACTGTCTACATGGTTTGTTTGTAGGATCCCAAAAATCAATGTTGAGATCACCTGTGCAGATCAAATTCTCGAATTGTGGGGCGAGGACTGTCAGGGAGTCATCTAACTCTGTGAGATACTCATTTACTTGAAGATTAGGTGGCCTATAAGTCACTCCTAAAGCATATTTGAGAGAATTTTGACTGAAGGTGATCCAAAGCTGTTCAGAGTTGCGAGTATTTATATTGGTCAATATCTTAGCTTTGAAGTTGAGCTTAATATAAATTGCTAAGCCTCCTCCACGACCCACAGCTCTATCTCGCCTGTATAACGTATACCCTGCTAGCAAAACACTTGCATTCACAATATCCCTAGTAAGCCATGTTTCAGTGACCGCAATACAATCATACCTCTGAAACACTGCCCTTCTAAATTCGTTAAAGGAGTTTGTAATAGACCTGGCATTTATATGACAAATACTGAAATTATACATTTTTTTTTTTATACCTATATATGAGATCTGTGAGTACAATAAAGGAGATCCAAAGGTGTATATGAACTGAGATTTTATAATCAACTAAAATGAACAAAGGAAAAGAAATTGTTTTAAAATGATTATTTTTTCTTAGTAGAGCGGCTAGATGTTCTTTTCGGTACGATATCGTCTATTTCATCTGATCGTGAACGTCCGCGCTTTTTTTCCTCCAATTCCTTTCCTATTAGGGTTGTGGACGGAAGGCTGAACCCAAGCAAATTCTGTTTCAAATCCTGTAATGTGTACTTTTTGTTTTTATAAAGTAGATTTCCCTTCTGTATTTTAGCTAGCGGGTCTGACTCTTTCGCAATTTTCAGTTGTTCGCCCAAATATTTCCTTTCCTGATAATCTTCGGTACTATAATCGTTGGCAATGAAGATACCAGTATCCTTCAATCTACTCAAATTGCTTAATATAGATTGTTTCGTATCGTAGTGTACAACTTCCACTACAACCGGCCTTGGTTTGCCTTCTTGCACAACAGATCCTATTCGGTATACGTCTCTTAAATCTCTACGACCACAATCCACTTTCAGTATGTCGTTGAAAGTTGTTAGTACTCCTGAGTTGGTCTCATCTGGTGTATCGCCCTGGAGTCCATATATAATCAAATTATATTTTTTTTGTCTTCGCTCGATAGTTCGCAATTTATTGTTCAGATCTGCAATTCCTGATTTCAGATTAAGATTTTCTTTTTCTAGGTACGCTATTTTTTTCTCAAGATTTTCGTTGTATTCCTTCAAATCCCGCCTCAGTTCTTCGTGCAGCTGGTTATTACGTTGAGCTGTTTCAACTATTAGATTCTGCAGTGAACTCTGGAGCGATTCAAGAGTTACATTAGCTGTAGGGTTACCTGGCATTTTACGTGTTTGCGTCGTGGAATTTTGAATGGCAAGGTGTATACTCTTGCTTCTGACGATACTACACTAAAAGTTTCCACGGCTGATAGACCTAGAGACGCCAGATTCGCCCCACTTTAGTTGAGATATTAAATGAATTTCTCGGTACAATATTCGACCTTATCGGCTTTTGTTTACGCTCTTTGTTTTTTCCAATAACGATCAAATAACTAGAGTATGCACAAAGTTCTGATAGATTGAATCATACCATTAGATAGATCATCTTGTGTAGAACCAATTGACCATGTACAATAATTTGATTTTCGTGTTTTTACTCACATGAGTGACTGATTTCAGGACACTTCATATATAGACGAGCGAATTTCGAGAGCAAAGTCGCTTAGTTTCCGAGATAAAAAAAACTGGCGTAGAACCAGGTAAAACCTGGTCCATTTCTTCAATTAGGTGGTCGTGTATACGAAATCACTTTTTACGACATTTTTTAGTGGTCGTGAACTTTTTAATTTCAAAAAACTCGAAAAAATGGACTAATATGTAAAACATGTTTTTTTACGTCTCCACCGTTATATCTCTCAAAGTAATTGTGGTTTTGGGCTGATTTTTTTTTTAAATTAAAGAAGATTCAATAGCGGTTCTAACCACCTACTTTGTGATTTTGATATATATTTATTCGATCTGTTGAAATGATAACAAACTTGACCTCGATATTTTTGTAGATGTAAATTATAGCAATCGATAAAAAAGTTTATTATTGGAAATTTGTGTATACATTATGCGAACAAAATGGGGGGAATGTATGAAAAAAGTTTTTGGAATGATAATTTTTCATGTATGTATGTATGTATACAGTCAGCGATTTTAACAAAACAAGCTAAAATTGCGCTCGGGCGCGCCCGGCTCTCTTATTACCCAGTTTATGTCTGTCACATAGGTAGCAGATCTGTACCTACGTTATGGTAGGACTTCTGATGGGATAATACCTTTTATTGTTTATATTTCAAAATATTGAACTATCTAAATGATACATCAATCAATGTTTCAAACTAAATTCTTTCCTTTTCCTACAGAATGATTATTTAATCATTTTTGACCGGAACTAAAAACGTATCCATAAAACAACTTTTATTTTTTTAATTATTCCAATAGATTATAGGTACATCAAAAGTATTCAAGTTCGTCAATTTCTCCTATATCTTCCTTAGAATCTTCGGACATTATTTCAAAAACGACATTTACAATCTTCACAACATTTTAGGCATTCTTTGAAACAACCACATTTTCGACTATCACAATTTTCATCCGAACAAAAGATACTTTATGATTGCCGAACAGAACCAGGAATTGGTTTATCATTCGAAAATATTGAAATCCAAACGTTGTTATTCAAATTCCATCCTGAACCATCTGTATTTATAAGTGGTGTTGCTAAGTTGCTATGTTGCTGCTGAACCATATTCTGAGTTGATACATACACCTGAAATTTTAATAGTCAACTGAAATATTGTCATCTTATTTTAATATAAATATAAGTATGTTCATAATGTAATAATGAATATAATTTTCACGTTCACCTTGAGAAGTGCTGGTAAAAGGCACCTTCTCTTGGGGGAAGCTCTGCAGACGGTTTTTTTAAGAACGTCAAACGTCGATTTTTTTCCTATTTTGAAAAAACTACTAGTTGTGTCGCAACCAGTAGAACAATGAAGTGCCAACAGAGAAGAACACATTGAGGGTCCTGAACTTTGCACTACTTTTTCAATTGAGATAAATCGTTTTCTAGTACCGTGTCCAAGATGCATAAATAAATTACTTTCTTTCAACAAAAAAAGTGGATGAGTAAAATCTGCTGAATTCAGTTTCATGTATAGCATGCAAAATAATCCTTGTATCTGCCTCTTCATGTTTGTTAAAAAATAGAGCCTTAACAATTTCCGAATGATGTTTATGCATTGGAACTACTTTTTCACATTTTAAATCCCCTAGCTGTCATCAATATTTCATTTTCGTTCAAGTACTTTGCAGCGTTTCGTATTCTGTTTGGAAAAATAAGAACTGACTGTTTAATTTCATAAGATTTCAAAAAGTGTCGATATTTTTGTAATTTTCGGCTACCAATAACGTGCTTATAGCTTTCACAGAATTTTTATTGTAGGTGTCAAAAACTACCACTGTTCGAAGTGCTCGACATCTGCGCCCAGCATCAATTACAGCTGTCAAAAAAGTCCTCTCTAAATCGTTAAAAGTTGAAACTCGCGTATTTTTGAAAATTAATCTTATCAGTCGGACTGTTTATGGATCATGGCTACAATGTATTCTTATTGTAAACAAACTGATATGTTGCTGGTCATCGCGGGCTTTACAAGAACTCTCGTGTTACAAATTTAGCGATAACTATATTCAGTACCTAAGGTGAGCACTTTAACGCCCTGTACCAACTCAACGAAACGATTTTGGATATAGGTAAGTTGGCTAAAATGAACTTATTTCTGTCCCAGGAGTCGACAGTCAAGCCATGTCTCAACCAGATTATTTTTTTTTCAAATGCATAAGATGCCTCAGATTATCAGAAATTATTTATTTGCAAATGAACCTCGAGACTCATCACAAATTAACACGATACAAAAAATATTCAACAGATATCAAACTTTTCTTCTTTTTTGTTCCAGTACTACTGCAGATAAGGCACATTTTTCTGATATCAAATGTTTGTGATTCAAACCGAGGTCCAGAATAATTTGAGGGTCCGGCCTCACTGTCATTTCGCAAAATACTATTAATATTTTGAAAGCTTGTGTGCGATTTTTGGCAGTCTGAGTGAAACTTTATTTTTAGGTCACTATTGAAAAATCTTTTTTTTTGCGACAGAATTTCTTTTGACCGATTGTCTTGTCTCCTCTCAGCACTAGCTATTAGTGACAACAATCCTTGTATTCTAGGTCTTTGTACCACAGATTTGTCATCATCCTGCACAATATTTCCACAAATAATACACTCCATTTTCTCAGAGAACTTCTTATAAATATCGGCGCATGTAGATGTTACGCTGAATGCCGTTTACATCAAACTAATCCACCCTCGTCTTCCTGTGGCGCGTGCCGATATTGAGCGAGCAATAAAAAAATCATTGTTGCTAAACTATACAAAATGGGGGAAAAATAATCAGCTCAAAAACTTCTATCATATATGGGCTTCATTTGTTTCGCTATATGTATACAAAAATTTCCAAAAATAAAAAAGTTTATCGATTGGTGCAAATTGTAATGCATAAATTCTGAATTCCATGCTCTCTTGATTTTTGAAAAATGAAAGAAGAAAATTTTGTAAAATCCATCGGTACTGTTAGAAGCGCTATTGTGTTTAGTTCAACCTCGAGAAAAAAACACTTCGATATCTTCATTGATTTCAAAGATATGACGGTGGAAACAAAAAAAAATACATTTTATTTGAAGTGCATTTTTTTCAGTTTTTTCTCAGTTAAAAAGTTCCAGACCACAGAAAAATGTCGTAAAATACGATTTCATATACCTAGTGATATGGTCAACAAAACCTACCATGTCTGACCTGGTTCTACGTCAGAAAAAAAAAACGACACGATAGGGTCTCGAATTTACTACACTAATACACATGCACGTTCTTACTTTCTACCTTGAACGATGTATATATAGTATCATAAAAAATATAGATATGAATAAAAAATATATAAAATAAATGAAATTACAACAACTGATGAAACTGAAGAATAAAAAGATTTTTAAAATAGACAAAAGATGATGGATGATATATGTATAAAATGATTACGATAATAATTTGGCGACTTAAAAGAAGGTAAGATAAGCGTATACTATAGGATAATTTTTTACATTTATATTTCGATCATCTCGTATATTTCTGCACGGGAAGTATGTTGAACATAGATTTTAAGTTCATTCTTAAATTTCCTAGGGTTTGGCTCGCATTTTAGTATTTCTGGTAGACCGCTGAAGAGTTTTGGACCCAAGTAATGATAGTTTCTTTGACCGACTGACTTGTGCATGACTGGTATAACAATACTTTCTTTGTGGCGAGTTCTATAGTTATGTACGAAAGCGTAGAACGGACATGAGATATTTGTTTTCTTAATTTCGAGATATAACTCGAAATTAGTACTAATTTCGTGTTAAAACTCGAAATTAGCTTAATTCCGAGTTATAACTCGAAATTAGTGCTAATTTCGTGTTACAACTCGAAATTAGCTTAATTTCGAGTTATAACTCGAAATTAGTACTAATTTCGTGTTAAAACTCGAAATTAGCTTAATTCCGAGTTATAACTCGAAATTAGTGCTAATTTCGTGTTACAACTCGAAATTAGCTTAATTTCGAGTTAAAACTCGAAATTAGTGCTAATTTCGTGTTACAACTCGAAATTAGCCTAATTTCGAGTTATAACTCGAAATTAGTGCTAATTTCGTGTTACAACTCGAAATTAAGCTCTTCTTAAGTTGTAGTACGAAACCAAGCTCTCAATGAGTCAAATTTCCACAGGAAGTAGTTGTATAAATCTCGGTATAGTACCTAACAGTGTTCAACAATGAAAGAAATAGTGTACCTATATTATCACACCATATAGGTATTTTAGGAAACTTGTTTTCAACACATCGCTTCTCCATCACAAATAACATATCGCAACTACATTGCAAAGAACATATCGCTGTTATATCGCAGAGACCTTATCGCAGCGACGTCGCATGGATGAAACTTGAGAGTGACAAAATATCATCCCTCTGACATCGCAGCGACGTCTATGCGACAAAGAATGCGATATCGCAGGTCACAATTGTTACATCGCTGCGATATCTCTGTGATGTTACTGTATTTGCAGGGATGTTGTTTATAAACTCTTTTGTTATTCACTCGAACTTATTTATTTCACTCATTTCTGAGTTATACCGGTTGATAGTAAATGTTTCTTTTATGACAAAAACTGAGACTACGGATGATTTTCACAAGAATGCCATGAATATAAGTTACCATGGCAACCATTGTTATCGCAAATGTTGTCAGAGATATTGTCAAATTGAGCTAATTTCGAGTTGTAACACGAAATTAGTACTAATTTCGAGTTATAACTCGAAATTAAGCTAATTTCGAGTTGTAACACGAAATTAGCACTAATTTCGAGTTATAACTCGGAATTAAGCTAATTTCGAGTTTTAACACGAAATTAGTACTAATTTCGAGTTATAACTCGAAATTAGGAAAAACAATATCTCATGTCCGTTCTACGCTTTCGTAGTTATGACTGTAGGTAATCGTTTTTGTTTTTATAATCAACTGTAGTTATGTTTATGAAGAATAGTTGTCTTGGATCAAATATTGCAGTTTCCGTGTAGAGGAGGTTGGTAGTTGTATCTTTTCTGCAGAATACATCTCAAGAAACGTCTTTGAATGACTTCGATGGAGCGCAGATATGTTTTAGAGACTCCCCCCAAACCAATTATGCCGTAACTCAAGTGAGATTCTACCAGACTTTTGTACAAAATTATTTTATGTTCATGGTTGAGTACGTCAGTTATTTTTTCGAATTTGTACAGAATGCATCGAAGTTTTTTCACAGCGTAATCCTTGTTGGTCTCATCTTAGATGATTATCTAGAATTATTCCGAGGTATTTGATTTTCATGACAGGTCTGATGGTGGTCGTGTCGGATATTACTAAGTTATATTCTGGCAGGATATATCATAGCTACTGAATGGTAAGTAGTACGTTTTGTCGAAATTTATTGACAACAATCTATAGTAAAACCACTTCTTTATTTTGCTCAGGTCGTACTCTAGCTTAAGCTTCAAATTGAACCAGTCATCGTCTTCGCAGAATATGACTGTATCATCAGCAAAGCTAATAATTTCCGAGTTGGTATTCAGTAGAAAGAGATTATCCAGGTGAATTTGAATAATATTGGCCCTAGGACCGTGCCTTGGGGTACACCACATGAAATAGTTTTTTCATCACTAACACTCTCATCAATTTTCACTCTTTGCCGCCTATTTGATATATAGCTTTTGAACAAATTTTATGCCTTTTATCCCCATATCTTCAAGAGTTTTGAGTAATATAGAGTAGTCCACGGTATCGAAGGCTTTTCTCAAATCTATGAAAGACACCAATTGATGGTTTAGACTCATCTAAGCACTGATATATTCTTTTTGTGTCAATATTCTTATCGGATCTTGAGTAGACATGTTTTCTCTGAATCCATACTGTGATTTTGACATTTGATTGTACTTTTCAAGGAATTTGAATAACCCTCTCTAATATTTTGGCTAGACATGTAATCAAGGTAATAGGCCTATAATTTGATAAATTTGTCTTAATTCCATTTTTATGAATCGGTGTCACCACGGCCGTTTTGAGTGCTGAGGGGAAATACCCCTGTTCCAGCGATTCATTGACTATGTGAGTAAGTGGTTTTGTTATATAGTTGGAGATAAGTTTGAGGGTTAATAGGAAAATGGAGTGGTCACATAAACTTTTCCTTTCCATATATTCTGGATTTCTATTTATATTTTCAGCTAGTTTTTCACCTACAGATATGAAGTATTCGTTAAATTTGTTCGCTATTTCGACGCTCTCACTGATTTCTTCATTATTTTTTGTTATGATCGATTTTATTGGTGAAGGTTCTTCGTTAGTCAATATTTCGTTTACAGTTCGCCAAAGTTTCTTAGAATCGTTTCTCTCTGCTTCTAGACGTTTCCTAAAGTAGGAAGTTTTGGTAGTCTTGAAAAGTTTTCCTAGATTTTTTTTGTATGTGTTGTATTCTTCAGAAAGGGCGGTATTATTCGGGTCATTTTTCAATCTATGGAACATACTTTTTTTTTTATTCACAGAATTAACGAGTGATTTGGTGATCCACTCCTTCCGTTTTCTATATTTGTTGTTGATTTTTATAAATCTAGTGCATTTGTCTGAGTTGGTTTTTATAATTTTAATTAATTCTTTTGTTGCAGAATCAAGATCCTCACGATGATAGATGGCTGCTCAGCTTTCTTTTTTTATGTTATCTACGAACTTTTTGTCATTTATTTGTTATAGTACCGTACCAAATTTTTCTCGACACTCTCTTTATTTTCAAGAACTATTTGGGCTAAAATTGTGTAGTGGTCTGTAATGCATGTTGTAATGCATGTTTCAAACGTGATTGGTAAGATTTCGTCATAATTATGATATTTTGATTTGATGAATATATGGTCTAAGCGTTCACTCATGGTATCCAAGTAATATTCGGTATGACAGGATGTATTTAACAAATCAATATTTATATCACCGATAACTATATTATAATGAGATGTTTCATCTTCCCTACTCAAAATAGTAATCAATTGGTCAACAAATGCATTAATGTCTGTGGCTGGTGATCTGTATATGCCATTTACTATAAAACTGGAGCCATGCACAGTCATTTTGGCACTCGGGAGGAAACTACCGTTTAGACTAATTGTGGTGTGAGATACATACGCTTCTGATTTTACGAACATTATTACCCCATCGTTTTGATTTAATTGTCCAGAATTATAGATTGTTTTGTATCCAGGAATATTGAAGATTGTGATATCAGGAATAATGCGTGTTTCTGTAAAAACAATGCAATCGAAGGATTCATCTAATTCATCTAGTGTGATCAGAAATTCATCGAGGTTACTTGATATACTGCGGATGTTATTATGAAAAATTTTGAAATTTTCATATGGTTTGTTGATTTCGAAAACTTGTTTAACTTCTTTTCTTAAGGAGAATGATTCTAATATGGTTATAATGAAGTCTCTTATATATGGATCCATATTGCAGTTTGATTCACCTGCTCATTTAAAGGTTATAGTTTTTTCACAACATATAAACAGAGTTCTATAATAATTATTATCATTGCAGCCTCGTAGGGTTCGTATGTGATTAGCTCTGGTTCTTTCAATGATTTGTGTTTCTGTGCTTCCTGCCCTATGTCTATGGCTCTGTACCCTCTGCGTATTCACCATATTATGTATGTATGAGTAGGTACACATCCATCCATACATAACATGTTGTACCTGAGTAGATAATAAAATCAATAAATAGGTATGTTTTGTATTCAAATTTCTCATATTGATAAAGATAGCAGCTGTTTCAAAATCCAATTTTCAATTTGATGGCATTCGACCTTGAATAATTGACAAAATTTGTCTTCGCCACTCATCTCATTACCTAACGTATTGAAGAATATAAATAAAGTGAAAAACATATAATATACATTATTCATGATTGATTTTATACTACTTGAAACGGATGTTGTTTTTTTTTGTTTTGTTGGAAAACAATTGTACAATTATTATTAGTTTATTGTTTCTTATTCGTCCAACTTATCTTATGTTGATGTTGTATATTCCTATGATGAACAACAATGTTTCTCAGGATAATAATGAAGGCAATCATATTCAGTATATCTGTAACTAACTTGCCTTAAACTAGGTATCAAACTACATCTTTTCCAATTGTATTCAAGAAAGCGTCCGTTCAATTGCAGGAAGCGTCCATTGTAATTCAGAGTAGTCACTAGTATTTCAGAATACGTTAATTGTATTCCAGAACAGTCAGTTCAATTTATTTAAAGTGTCAATTATATTTCAGAATAGTCTATTGAATTTCAGAAAGTGTCATTTGTATTTCTGAAAATTTCATTTGACGTCTGAAATAGAAGTGACGATTCCAAAATTCAATTGACGCTTTTTGAAATCAAATTGACTATCCTGGAATACAATTGATACTTTCGAGATACAATAAGCGACTATTCTGAAATAAAATTGAAGCTTACTCAAATTGAATCGACGATTTCTGGAATACAATTTTGGAAAAGGTGTTAAGCACTCGATAATTATTATCAACTCTAACAACACGCATCACACAAAATACGCATTGCTCATTCACTATGATACTTTGCTGTGTCGCCACGTTTATTCACATACCATTCAAAACCTATTTGTTCGGAATTTTCGTGTCAAATTAATCATATCTATCTATAAATAATTACATACATTTATAAAATCTTTTCCTAGGTGAAGAGTTTGATTAGGTATCTGGTTTGTCCAACACGAATAATCACACTTTAACTCCATGTGAAACAATATTCTATTCTGATACTACGCTTCACCTAATATTATACCTATTCTACAATAAGTATTGGAATGACCTCTATTCCAACGGAGCGCAAAATTTGAAAAAATCCAAGGAACAATGAAACTGCGGAACGTTCAATTTCCGAAATAGTGTTGGATAAATCATAATAATACTCTCATATAAGAGCACAAATAAACACCAATTTTTCCCAACGGTATATACACTCAAATTTTTCATATGCTCAATATAGGCACCTTCACGTGAATTTTACTTCAGTCTGGGAGACAAAATAAAGACACTAGACGGCTCACATATTCTCGATGTACCTACGCGTATATTGAACTTATATCTGAGGAAACAAGGAAATACAAGCTTCCTCCAATGACTGAGTCACATTTTTCATATTCCCAATATACCTTCGCGTTCATTGTACCACAGTTTGAGAGAACAAAAACGCACACTTTTCCCCCAACCCCAACGACTGAGTCAAAGTTCTCAGATGTCCGATGTACCTTCGCGTCGAATCTTCATCAACACTTTCTTCGCATGCTTTACCTCGAGCAACTACGCAAATCGGGCCGTACGGTGTTCTGCAGTTATGGCTCGATACGTCGACGCTGCCGCTGGTGAAAAACAGCCAGTCGTGTATCCTCTGCAGACATTGACACTTCCAGGGGTTCGGATCCATGAAGATTGTCCCGACAGATAACTTGCTCAGCAGCTTGTCCGGCAAATAGTTGAGGCGGTTGTTGTTGATAATCAGATTCTCGATGTGGATTTTGTTGGGGAACGCTCGTTCGTCGAGCACTGTGAGCCCGTTTAGGTTCAGGTTTAGATAAACGAGGCTTTTTAAGTTCTGGAAGGCATCTGGTTGGATGATGGTGATCTTGTTCCTTGTGAAATCGATGCCAAGTAGCGACGGCAGCGATGCGAACGCTCTTCTCGGGATAACGGATATTTTGTTGCCGGAGAATCTGATATACTTTAGTTTGGGACAGTTCTCAAACCAGTCTCTGTTCCAATATGTGAGTGCATTGTCGGTCAAGATGATCCCTTCGAGCGACTCCATATTGGAAAAGGCTCCACTCGCGATGAAGTCGATTTTGTTTGAGGATAGGTACAGGCGACTAATGGTGGGAACTAAGTTGAAAACGTCTGTAACAAAAACGTTTTATCGAATTTCCCATTTATGTTCAAAATCGAATATTTTTGTTGTATTGTTCCATGTTAGAAAGGAAATGAATGCGATTGGGATTGGGAGTACTTTAGCTAATTATGTATTCCATATTTCATCTATAGGTCCTTGAGAGATTCCCTAGTGCGGAGTAGAAGCACATAGATTTCTAGCTTTCGCAAAAAAACTCAATTTTTGACTCCACTCTAAGTAACACAGCTCTCTAGATAAAAAAAAACGAATTTTAACTCAATTTGTTCAAATACGAATATCAAGGAAACTTATAGGGATAGAGAAGTTCTCACTTCACATTCTTGTGGTGGGCGCCGTGGGTTTGTCTATGCGCTGGAATTCGCCAGATAGCCGTTCACGATGCGGAGGTTCTGTCGGATCGAATCGCTATCGGCTGAGCATTTTTCTTCAAAATGTCGATGTCCTAGAAGTGGTTGGGATTCCACTTCTAGCTGTAGGTCCCGCTCTCTCTAACCTCGCACATGTTTCGATTTCTGGGAAGTTGGTTCCCAACTTTGAAGTAGCGATATTGAAATTTTACAAAAAAAATTAACATCGATAATATCGGATCCTGTATACGAAAAACTCTATGTCATCTTGTCATTGTATATAATAGTGATAAATACAAACAGCATATCGAGATCGAATAACTGACACCTTGAATTGGTTGAAAAAAGTTCAAAGGTGTTTACCTCGTTTCTTTATCAGATCAAGAAATCAAACTTCCGAATATCATAATAACACAACTTAGTCCAATGAACATCCAATGTACAAACTCCTCTAGACAATCTGAGCATCCAATGGACAGACTTCTCTGGAAAATCTGGACATCCAATGGACAATTAAAATGCGTACACTGGACTACATAATATGGACATCCATGGGACATTTACTTTTCCACACTTTCCATAGGAACTTGGGAAGTTCTAAATGAACTAATCAATGCCATCAGATGTCAATAACAGATATCAATTAGGACATTCTCACTGTACATCCATAGGATATCTAAAATGTACCTGAATTCATATAGGAAGATCTGGTCTATAAACAGAATCAAAGTTTCTGGTTATTATTTTCATACAATCAAGGTTTCCAGTGAACATAAACGTCCCTGGGATGTCACATTCATATCTCGAAAGGTAACAATGCGAATTACAATGAAACATCATTGGTATTGCCAAGGGACTCTTTATTTCACAAAACATTCGCAACATTCATCAGATTCAATCATTGGATTTGAGACTTAAGATGTAGGTGAATTTGTGAGGCTCCCTAACAATCAAGACACTTACTAGAAACTCACAGTCTATTTATGTTACAAACGGAATCAATCAATTCTAATGTTTTATGAGGTGTCACAATACGTACTGTGAGTTTCATTTGGCATCATAAATGACCAAAAGGGTCCGAAATAGCAGTTATTGTGAATTCAGTGGGACTCTGACGGATGTGATGTGTGGCATGAATGTGATGCCCTTTTATACAGTGCGCATCATAAGTGTTACCCCCCTATCTAACTCGTTACGGGACCCTTGTTAGTAAAATTGCCGACACCCGTCAATTTTTGATTTCTACAGTGTACATTTTCGTAGGAATAGTTCACTCCTAATTTCATTACTCACTGGAGGGGTGCAACCCTGTCAAAAAATTTAAATAGCATGGGGTGGTGAGTGAAAGCTCATTTGAAATTTCAATAGAATAGAGATTGAAACCCCCTTTCAAATGAGTTATCACTAACCACCCCGTGCTATTTGAATTTTTTGACAGGGTTGCTCCCCTCCAGTAAGGGATGAAATTAGGAGTGAACTATTCCTATGAAAATGTTTACTGCAGAAATCAAAAATCGACGGGTTTCGGCGATTTTCTTAACAATAGTCCCGTGTCGAGTTAGATAGGGGGGGTAACATACTTATGATGCGCACTGTATATCTGAGATCAATCTGTGTTAATTGGGTTATTACGAGGTTATTACTTGAAAATGTGAGTATATTCAAGATCACTACAATGAATATCAGATTAATGTAATGATATACATATGTTGCTTCCATATTGAAACTCCATTCATCATTCCAGTTTGTCATGAATCTACCTATACACCTTTGCACTTGAGCCACTAGATGGCTATGAAGGCTAGATCGTTCTTCTGCCCCCTCAGGGCTTCGACTAGTTTGATATATGGAGGTTCCCTTCGTGAATCGATTGTCAGCTGGCCAGTGCCACTGATGAGACTTATGGCAAGTCGAAACAGTCTGTCTTGCATCAGCTGACAATCGATTCACGAAATTTCCCTAGAATCTCTTAGTCTTGAGATTCTAGGTTTATCACCAGCTGTTAGAGGAACATTAAACCACTTTGAGAATTACAGGTGTTGCGATAGTCTACAGAATCTGACATGCATGTCTTTTCTGTAAGCATATAGACGTAGGGGTCTATATGCACGACTTACTCGCAAATTATGATTGATGTATCTAGCTATACACCTTTGCACTTGAGCCACTTGCTGGCTATGAAGGCAAGATCGTCCTTCTGCCCCCTCAGGGCTTCGACTTGTAGTAATATTCCTTCGTCTCCCGCTGCAGTTTTTGTGCATTGCACAACAGCACAATGTGATGGCATGAGCGAATTAATGAATAGCTGAAAAACATGATTCGTATGCCAGAATGATTGTGAAAAACTACTTCAATCACTTGTGAACGAATAAAAAAAGTGAAGTTGTGTTTCAATGTTTCACCTCCAGGGTCGGTCATCTGACAGTTCTTGCACGCAACCCATAATAACGTGAAAAAAATCACACAGATTTTCCTAAAATTCACTTTTTTCGATTCAACTGATATAATAACATTATATATATGTTGTTCCAACCTGTGGGATTAGAATTACCTGTTGGAAGGTTCAATGAAACTTAATTCTTGGAAAGGAGGCACAGTATCTACACACAATGTGAATATTGTAATTGAGAATTTTGTGGAAATCTTATCGTTTGTGAACGGCCGAGTCGATTCAAAATTTTAAGAAACAGTATAAATGATGATCACCATTTCCATACACGTCTGGCAGGAATAATTTTCCTAAAGAGAAACAATTCATGAATCATGGGCGTCGTTGCCCCACCTACTTGAGTCTGACACGTGTGGCAAACGATACATCGCACGGTTCCCCTATAGGAAAATTATTCTTGCCACACGTGTATAATCGTAATATCCATTACAATATGGTGCAAAACAACATCTTGTTTATGCCTATGCAACCTCATCTTGATCACACTGTATACTGCTACGAATATCTTGGAATTGTTCTTGAACAAATCTCCTGAATAATTTTGATGCAATCTACTCATTTTCAGTATATCTTCGAAATGCTCCTAGAGAATTATAACTTTGGAATATTCTCTCTGAAAATTCGCGAGACACGTCAACGTTAAAATGTATTCACCTACATTTGGCGAGCAATATGAAGAATATAACCCTTCAGGGGTAGCTAGAATCAGCCCCAACTTGCTTTTTTCAAATGCAACCCTATGGCTCGCGACCTCCCATTGGAAAGCTGGTTGAAATAGAAATCCAGCGTACTGATCATATTTCAGTTTGCAGTACGTTTGGGAGTCGCATAAAATCAAGATATTATAATGTCGGAGTTTATAGTATATTATGTAACAAGTGATATAAACGTCCTTTTAGTAACGAGTAGTTTAAGCACGAGCGGAGCAGAGCGGAGCGAGTGTTTAATAAACGAGTGTCTAGAAGATTTTATAAACGCGTAACATACTATGATTTTTCCACGAACTCCGAAAATTACATTAACATACCTGCTATTCCTGCTAACCTACAAAATAATTCGAAAGAAATGGGAATTGAGAACATAATACATGCAACTGCATGCAACCAGCGAAACACGAATAAGTGATATTGGTTGTAAATGTGTCCATTCCTTCGTTTCACGTTCATTGTCATGCTTAGCGCAGAATGAATGAATTGTTCTCAAAGATGGATGCTTCATTTTTACACTTCTTGGAGATATGCAAGTACCAGAACATTCTCTTCTATTTCACTTTCGTCTACATCTCGCATATATTTTCAATGAAGAATTCTGATACAAACGAATATTGTTTGAATAATTCTGATACGAAATTTGAAAATAACAGTTGACAGTTGATACAATTGACAGGCCATCAAACATGTCTCAAATTACTGAAGCTGTGTTCAATGAACTGTGTTGCCATGGTAATGTCTTTAAGAAATCGTGTTACCATGGTAACGTGTTTAATATTTCGTATAAATCACAGATCGTCAATTCGTGATTGATCGATCATTTAGCGTGGTACATATCCGTACGATAAATGCCATTTTAGTTATGTGAGTAGAAAAATATATTTTCAACGTATTTTCATCAATATTTCGACTTTTAGTGACAGTGATTTGGGGCATTTCCACCCGTTTGCAATAACACTTCGTTTCGAACTGTGAATACGACAAGAACTAAATTTCTTTTTGTGGCTCTATAAAAACACTGGAATACAATAGCAGATAGCAGTTGTGGCAGAAAAAGCACACGTTGAAAACAAAATAGAATTTTATAATTATTCCTCTTTTCATCAGCTTTCCAATATGAGGAATCACAAGCCATATATTTAAAAAAATCATGTTGAGGGTGGTTTAAGCTACCCTGGGAGGTATACATTCTTGATATTGCTTGCAAAAGGTAGCTAAAAACATCAAATCGTTGAAGTATGCCGGGAATTTTTAGAAAAAAAAATTCACCTCTCCGCTAACAAATTCATTCTAGTTGAAGGGTCCACACTGTATAGTATACAGTATGGTGCAAATTGAAGGAATAAATCCATTTCTGGCCAAACTGTGCATTTCTGAAAACCTTACTGAAACAGATCAATCATTTTTCCCAATTTTCCATATTCATCAGTAAAAATTGAATATACAGGGTGATCCACGTTAGAGTTCTGACGTCCGCGACAATTTTTTCAAATGGAACACCCTATATATTATTCAATATTCCGAATCTCCATAAAAAGCTGGATTACAAGAGAATATGACACACATATATTTCGTATACAGTGCGACCCCATTCCACGAGAGCACTGAATTTGATGGACGCACTGTATACAAACCCTATGTGTGATATAATCCTGAATCCATCTCCTCGAAGAGATTCGAAGAAACGAATGAGATTTAGAGTGTTCCGTTTGAAAAAAACGCGTACGTCAGAATTCAAACGTGGAACACTCTGTATATCAATTTTCCTTACAAAAGTAGCAAATTAGAAATAAAAATCGATCTGTTTCGGGAGATTTTTTCGAAAAAGATAGCTCGACTGAAAGTTAAGTTCCATCCACCATACTTTACGAGTGCACTCAATTCAACGGACGCACTGAATTGGAACTACAAAACCTATATGTAATATATTTCTGATTTCAACTTTTCATGGAGATCCCACAAGAATCGAATGATATAAACAGTGTTCTATTTGAAAAAATTGTCGTCAGAACTCAAACGTGGATAAGCCTGTATATAATATTCAATTTTAACTTATATATAAATGTGGAAAATTGAAATAAAAAATCGACCTGTTTCAAGAGTGTTTTTCAGAAATGGATAGTTTGGCTACAAAATAAATTTATTCCTTTCATTTGCACCATACTGTTCACCTTTTGGTATCTCCTTGAGGTTGTTTTCCTTCAGTATCACCCATTTGAGACTCGGCACATTTCTAAAGGCTTGCGGCTCGAGAATCTCCAGACTATTCTGCTGTATGGATAGCCATTCCAGTTTTGGCAGATTCCTGATAGAATCCTTGCCCAGCCGCGTTATTTTACTGTGAACGATCACCCTTTGTACGAGTCCCCCTGTAATTAAAAAATGTATACTTGCCTAATGTGGAAGAATGGAATGTATGTGAGAGGATAGAACAAGAAGAGAGTTCGCGGTAAAAAACAGCCAAGTCAGATGAGTACATTAGCAGTAGGTAGCGAGAGATCCTAGAGGTTTGACTTGCTGTCAAACTAACCTATTACAATCATTGTGGAAATCCGATAGTTTTATTCGCTGGCTGAAAGTGATATATAAGTATGAAAAGGTTATGGAAAATAGTACTTTTTGGAAATCATCAATATTTTCCTCAAACTTGTTCAAGTGTAATTCAATGAAAACCAAAACGCAAAGTTGGTCGACAAAATAAATTTACTAAATGAGAATTAAAACGTAACTTGTTTCGGTAACGGAAAGGAGTTGAAAGGACTAACTTGAAAGATGAATCATAGGCAACATGTGATGAATCAAGATTGACTAACCTCATCAACACATGTTGAGCACAAATATTTGAAAAATACAATATTAAAATGATTCTATAGTTTTGAATCTTGAAGAAATCCAGAAGAACCATGCTAATGATTTGGTTCAACATCAAGAAAGGTGAAAATTTTGATATTCATCACAGACAAACAGCCCAAGGAAGCAAGTATCTACACAGAATTATAAATTGAATCATTGATATTGACAGCACTGAGATGAGTTACAGTAAAAATAACAAACAACAACCAATCATAATATATATCGTGTACGCTAGGAATCCTAGGAAATTTCAACCAAAGAAGATCGAAGACACGGATAAACCTCAGCAAAGGAAGTCTCAAAGCAATAACGGGATTTTCAACAAGGCATTGCAGACTCGAAGAACACCTAAGGAAGCTAGGCTTACAGGAGGACGGCACCTGCAGATTCTGTGAGGAAGAACCAGAAACACCCCATCACATACTGATGAAGTGTGACGCTGTACATCACCAAAGATTGAACATACTGAGAACACACCAACTGACTATGGAAGAAATACCACAATTAGATCCACTCAAATTCCTGAAGGAATTGAATCTTGAGGGGCTGCTATAAACAAGAAATTTTTGATATAGCAGAAGCAGGAGGAGCAAAGAATTGATTCTTTTGAAGTATCAGAAAAATTCAACAACATGAGATTACCTCCTGGTTATGTTTTGGCTAGTTTGGATGTCGTCTCTCTTTTTAGCAATGTATACTTAAAAACATGCTTAAGATCAGTACAAAAAAAACTGGGATCGTATCAGTGATTTTTGCAATCTGAACTTGGAAAGTTGTCTAACAATTTTAAAATTCCTTTTTGATAACACATTTTTTTCATTTGATAAAAAATGTTTCAAACAAATTTTTGGCACTCCCATGGGTGCATCAATTTCACCAATTTTAGCAGCCTATGTCATGGATGATTTGTTAGATACTGTGATTCCTGTTTTATCAGTTAAACCCTTATTTTTAAAAAAATATGTGGATGACATCATCTTAGCAATCCCAGAAGAAAGTATTGATGAGGTTCTTTTTACATTCAACAGCTATGACCCACACATTCAATTTACAATTGAAAAGGAAGATGCGAACTGTTCTGTACCTCTTCTCGACACAAAATTCATTCGCACTAACGAGAACAAGATCCTGATTGACTGGTACAGGAAACCTTGCAGCTCTGGCAGGTACATGAACTTCGAATCGTACCACAAAAGATCTATGAAAGTTAACTTGGTCAAGCAAATGAAAAACAGAGTGATGAGAATCTCAGACAATACTTTCCATAATAAAAATTTGAAAATTCTTTTACAACTTTTCGTTAACAACTCATATCCGGTCAAATTAGTAAAATCAATATTATTTAATGCACCATCCATTGATCAACCTGACAATCCAATTAACAACCCAGATCCACAACAAAATGCAACAATCCCTGAGACAATTCCAGCGCCAATCATTTTCACTTCACTACCCTATATAAGAGAGATAACACCACAACTGACCAGACTATTTCCATCAACAGGTAACTTAAAAATAGCATACAGAACAGTAGTAACTATCAAATCCTTGCACACCAAAATCAAAGATAAAGTGCCCTTGTTATCTAACACAAATGTAATTTATAGTATTCCTTGCCATGATTGTAACAACCAATATATAGGCCAAACATCGAGGTCACTATCCAACAGAATAATCTCACATAGAAGTGATTGCAGACTGCACCCAGAAAGATGTGCACTTGCAGAACATGTGAATAAATATGATCACCATATGAATTTTGATGCTGTTAAAATCCTATCACGAGAAAAACATCTGATGAAAAGAACTTTCTTAGAAATGGCTTTTATATCACAATGCAATAATTGCATAAATGAAAAAACAGATATTAATCATTTGAGTGAGATTTATTCCTTTTTACTGTCTTTAGATAACTCATAATCAATTCAAATTTCAGTTTTCAACGTTGGTACGCATTGTCTGTTGGTACCACTGTTTGTGCATTTTTGACATGACAATTGTCTTCACACACACTGTCATATGTCAGTCATATTCATTTTTCGAAAAAACTCATTTAAACTCTTGCCCTTTCAATTCTTTCACGCAATGATGTATTGCGATAACTCATTCTGCCTGAAACACCGTCGCGTATTTACCTAAGCTCAGTGAGATTCTTGTCTTTGGCTTGGCCCCATAAATACCAGCTCCTGATCCTTCCCCAGTTTTGGAGCCGTCCGTATGGACAGCAATGTCTGCATTGACAGGAGGTCCTTTCTTCCATGCGTCTCTGTCCGTTATACTAATTTTTAAAGTTTTTTCGAAGCTATATTTTGGAATAATGCCATCCGTTGGCATTCCCATGATGGGGTCGCTTTCCAACTATTCATATTATAGCTGTCTACAGTCTTTAACGTGCGCGTTGCTTATAATTGTTTGACCCCTTGGCAATCTACCCACGTCTGCTCTGGCTTCGCCTTGAATATATATTTGTAGTGGTGGCAGGTTCAAGAGGACCCCTAAAGCGGCTGTTGGAGTGGTTTTCATTGCACCAGTGGCACTCAGGCAAGCTCGCCTTTGAATTGAGCCTTCGAATCACTCCAGCCTGTCGTGTCTTTGGCAACCAAACTACTGACCCATATGCTATCATAGATCTGATGACGCTGACATAGATCCATGTGGTCATTTTTGGTTGCAGTCCCCAATTTTTTCCGCACATTCGTCTGCACAGATTGAAGGCTACTGTACTTTTTTGAGCAATTTTCTGTAGGTGTTGATTCCATGTTAACTTATGGTCAAAGATGACTCCTGAGTATTTTGCCTCTAGGGCGAACGGAATTTCTACCCCGTTGAGTACTGGTGGCTTTAATCCTTCCAGTACTCTCTTTTTCGTGGAATTCACTATAGAGGTTCAATGTGGGTTCACGGTGAGTTCCTTCTCTTTACACCACTTGTCTATTATGTTTAGAGCGGTTTGTGTGAGCTCCGAGACCGTACTTGCGAATCTACCTTTAGCGATAACCGCCAGATCGTCGGTGTATCCTAAGCAAAAATACCCTTTGAATGTTAGCCTTTTGATCTGTTCATCCATTAGAATGGCCCATAGCAGGGGTGATAATACTCCTCCCTGTGTGCATCTCCTATCTGCTCTAGCTGTCAGAGTTGTCTCGCCAATTGTTGATATGATAACCCTATTTTTCAAATTGACATTTTTATCCACTGGCACTCCTTTCCTTGCTAGGGCGTTAATTATAGAATTTGTTGGTGCGTTTTTGAAAGCACCTTCTATGTCTACGAATGTTGTTATAGCCATTTCTTTGTCCTCTATCGACTTTGCGAGTAGCCTGTTCAGATCATCCAGTGCTAAGTCAGTTGATTTGCCTGGCTGATACGCATATTGGCGTTTGTTGGGAGGGTTTCTGTGTAATTCCTCGTCTCTTATGTATCTCTCTATCAGTCTTTCCAGTGTTTTTAGCAGGAAGGACATCAAACTTATTGGGCGGTATGATTTAGGCGTTCTGTCACCCACCTTCCCCACCTTGGGTAGGTAGATGACTGTCACCTTCTGCCATACGATGGGTATATATCGTATTGCTATACAAGCCTTGAATATACGACACAGATGTGGAATTAGTATTTCCTGACCCTTTTGAAGCAGGATGGGGTATATTTCATCTACTCCAGGGGATTTATACGGTTTATTAATAGCCCACCTAATTCTGTTCGGCCTCGATATCTCTGTAGCTAGCTAGCCTCCATTCCATGGCAGTCGGCCACTATCGGCTCATTCAGAATTACCGATGCCGGAAAGTGTGCTTCAGTGAGCATCTCTCTCCTCAAAATTTGCTGTGTAGGTATCGTCATTTTTCTTCAGAAAACCTAGTTGGTTCACAGTACCTTCTTTGGATAGCACCTCGTGGATCCTTGAATATGTGGGGGTTTTTGTGACCTCCTTACAGAACTTTTTCCACGATTGCCTTTTCGATCTTCTGATCTCTTTGTTGTACTGTGTGAGTTTAACCTTATATATGGTCCAATTCTGGTCGATTTTTGCTTTGTTAAATAGCCTTCGCACCTCCCCTCGTAGGGATTCGAGATGATTGTTCCACCAGATTGTTTTACTGTTTTGTTGTCTTGTTTTTTCCGGACAGTTACCTTCGTAGGCGGCAACTATTGCCTTGCTTACTTGGTCTGCTGACCTCTCAAGACTGTGGCTATCCTTTATGCCAGCCGTGGTCCTTTGTAGAGATTCTCTGAGTAATGTTGCGTATCCTCTTCCCAGTTGGTCTCTCTAGGGTTTCTGTACTTTGTTGAAGTACGAGGTGGGGTAATTATGTCAAATCTTATTTGTCTATGGTCAGAACACGAAGGTTCGTCTGACCATTGTCGATCTAAATGAAAACCTAGTAGGCGACCTAGTGCGAGGAGGTATAATTGTCTGTTCATTCAATCAAAATATGTCTGTCAAGTGGCGCTGAGGAAGAGAAATTGGAAAAAGCTCATTTGTTTTGTCTTTGTGAATATGTTGAACTTTGAATTCGTATCCTTGAAAATTACAATTATTCCTAATCATTTCTTCTATATAGTATTATAGGCCGGCGTACCTCAGTGCTTCGACGCTTCAATATCGATTCACGTCGAGGTAACGATCGTGGGTTCGAGTCCCACGAATGCAGACTTTTTCTGATGGCCTAAGAAAGTGTTTGGGATCACACGTTAAAAGGTAATGCCCCCGTCATTCCTTGCTCGCACAAGACATTCGAAGACTTCTGAGGGTTGCTCGTGAGGGGGCAACCGAATGACGGATAGAACAATTTTAGAACAATTTTAGTACTGGTTTTCTATTGAAGTTTGTTGATTGGTTTGTGAGTGCGATTGTGTTATTTTGCAATGTTCTCTGAAAACTTCGCACTCCAGGAGGTGGAGGTGTAAAATTATCAAGACCTGGTTTCCCCTATCCCCACTGTTGTGAATTTGAGCCTCAAATCCTGAGGCATCAATTTGGTATGAAGATGAAATATTGTTTTCAAATTTGTTTTAGCGAATTTAATAAAAAGATAATAAATCAACTCGTCCTCCTTGAATGATTCATGTTTTATATATAATCTACAAACATTTTTTATATATCAGTATTTTTATATATATCAGTATTCATCTCACTCTGTATTCAACATCTTCAAATGTCAACCATCATCTATGACATTTTTTTGTCAAATCATTTCATTTTATTTATACACCTATGTTTCCTTTTTGTGCTTATTTTATATAGAATTTCATGTTTGTAAGTATACCAATTTCAATTGATGTACATTTATATTTTAATATTATTGTTCCATTCGATGTTTTCAGTTAGTCTTGATAAAGAAAATAAAAATTTTCGAAAGCTCGACAAATAACGAAGAAATTTAATTAATTCATTGGTCCAGACTGCATCCCACTAATATTTCCAAGAATACCTTTGGTACAATATATATAGTGTTTTCAAACTTACCTGCCAATACAGCTGTACAACAATAAACAGGGTATCAGAGGAGAACAAATTAGTAGAATAAAAATTGCAATAATTCTTCATAATAATATTCAATTTATTAAAAAAATATTGTCATTCATACATACAAGTTATTTTACAATAAAACAATTCTAAATATCCCAGCATCTTGACCAAGAACCCTGAACAATAGGAAACCATATATCTGAAGATAATCCTATATACAATCTTGAAATCACTTTACTCTAGTGAAATTCTGATTTGCTCACTACGAAAATGGTGCTTGAGTGGAATATCACATGTTCCTCATCATCTAACTGATTGCTTGAAAAATGAATAAATTGAATATACATTGGGATGTGTATAATTTGCGGACTAGAATGAAATGCTGGGGACTGGCTATTTCCAGCAAAAACATGGTTGTTTTTACTGCATATCTGGATTCAGCTCATCGAATTACAGGATGAAAAGTTTCTGATTTTTTTTTTTCATAAAATCTTGTGAACTGGATATTTTTGCAAGTCAAATCTTCCAAATTTTATCAAAAATCCAATAATCTCATGGCTGATTTAATGTTTCTACTATGCATGCGAAATGTAGGTAATATAAGCAGAGGGTTCAAACAATTCATCAGCTGATATCATGCAAAAAATCTAGATACAGGCACATAATTATGAATAGGTGAAAAACTCACATTAATTAATAAGCATCAAATTCTTCTCAGGTCTCTGATATTGTAGCTTGATAAGGGCTAGGATAGGCACCCAGTATGTACCTACCTATAAAACATATAATGATATTTTGTGTTCGGAGCAGAATATCCATGAGACATTGATGAAATAACCAGATTGAGTGTAACTTTATTGCTTTTATATATGCATTTCAGATGGGAAATTTTTCATTATGTTCTCGAACATCATCATCCATCCTGTACATTTCTTCTGAACATTACTCACATTAATGATTCCTAATGTGATTCTTCCACATCAATTTGTTTGTATCACTCATAGGTTCTCGTTTTTCAACTGAAAAGCTATTCATGTAGGTACTCTTCGCTGTAGGTAGGTACCTGACATTTTTAAGTACTTATAGTGATTCCGATGTGTACATAGTTTACATCACTAAAGACATGTTTTCACTGCAACCTTTCTGCTTGGCTTGCATGTCGAAAAAGTGTTGAAGCACTGATGAGTTTCCGAAGTTTCCACAGTTCCAACTTAAATTCAAGTTGCATCATAAGTCAACCTAAACATCTCCCTGCTTCCATTCGAGTATAGGTAGATGGTTTTCATACTTGATAATATCTTTCGTGATAATATTTCATTTTCGGGTTTCAACATGACAGATTTTTATTTACTCACTTAGTTCACGTAGATGTCTCTGAACTACATATTTTCTTCATTTGTCTTTTCAATGAACAGACAATAATATTATAGCTCCTGCCTACTAACTACCTAACTAGGTTGTCATCTAGAACGACAATGGTCTGACACATGCCAGTGACAATATTATCTGAAGTTAGTCGATTTTGATTCATCACACTTGTTGCCTATAATTTATTCATATCGATATCTTTCAGGTAGGTAGCCGATAGGGCCGGAAATAGTTACGTTTCGATTTCAATTAAGTGTGTGGTCGACCGAATTGGCGTTCCATTCTGGTTTTCATTGAAAAGTAGGTATACCTACAGTAGTATTCCATAAGGAAGCGTACAAGATTCAAAAAGAGAGGTGTTGTACGTAATCCTAGAACTAGAAGTGTAAAACTGGCTCAGCAAATGCTATGTGTTTCTCAGAATCGATGGCAACTTATCTGTTAACATTTGGTAAACAATCGTTACCGATAGCCCCTTTTACGCAAATAGGATGACGTTAATTTCTCTCTTTAATATACTTGTACGCTTTTTTACATTACAACTGTGTCTAATGTATGTACGCTGTACATACATTACAATACGAAACCAGTATCCTTGGCTGATGGGAGTTTCCTGAAGGAGAAATACTGTTAATAATTAAAACTTTGTTACCTATGTGAATCTCAGAGCCGACGGGACTTTGAATGATTATATTGGGTTTACACCTACTGCACCTAGGTGTATATCAACAACTGTAACATTGATTTGCTGATCCACCCTAGTATACCTGTATTTAATAGGTCATCAATCTCTGAACTACAGATAGAAAACACCAAAATATCAAGATTTATATATAGGGCGTTCAAAGGGAAGATTTTATTTTGGAATGTCCCAATAATAAGTTTTAACAGTATGAACATGAAATTTTGTAGTTTCAGATTTTCTGACATGAGAAATACGAAAATTCCCTCCTTTTGGAATTATCTAGCCTTTACGGTTTTTGTGTCATTCGCTCCTGATGAAGAGATCTGTATTGAACATACACGATTTTTATTATTTTGAACCATGAAGTTTCCGAAGTGACAATGAAAAACAGGACTGCAATGAAACCAAATATCTCAGGGCGCTCTTATAGGGATTCTTCAGGCTGGTTTTGGAAATTACTGGACTAGATGGATGTTTTTGTTGGTATATTTTAATTAATATAACTTCCACCGTGCAACTTCATCTACAACTATCAAATGACCCTGTATATATTGAAACAAATACTGTGTAGAAGTACCCGTTATCCAAGTGAAGCTTTATACGAAGAGGCACAGGTACACGATTTAAGGCAACTTTTTTTTATGAAATTAGGACTTACACAATATATGAATAAGAATGAACTTCTAACATACACTCACAATCACGAGACGCGGCACAAAAATAAATTTATACTTCCTCTCATGAATAAAGCGATTGGTCAGAGCTGTTATAAATATTTGGGACCGAAAGTATTCAATAATATACCCGAAAATATCAAGAATGAACCAACAGTTCAACGTTTCAAAAAGTCGTTAAAAGAGTATATTAGAATAAAACCATCAATGTACATAAAATCAATAGTGGAAAACTAATATATTATTTACTATGCTATGCTTCGCATATAAAATGGTGAGTTATCAGTGGCTACACAACGTTTTTTGCTTGGTCTGGTTGTTAGTTAAAATTTATATAACACTAAAAAATACTTCTTCTCTGCGCAACATATTATGATTAAGTTAATGCTAGGGTACTATTCCTCAAATTTATTTATACTTATATATTGGAACATTGTCGATTATTGTATATCTTTTTTATTCTACACACAGGTATATGGGTATCTGATATTCATATTCCTCGTAGATTCGCCCGTTTATTCACATTTCAATTGTATTTGAACTCACTGTTAACATATAATTATGTATGGTGAATAAATTATTATTATTATTATTATTATTATTATTATTATTATATAGTACATGGAATGATGTATAAAAATAAGGCAGCGAATGCCGGTTAAAAGTATCAAAAATATATCAAGTAATATCTCGAATGCTCGTTCTCTCCGAAATCCTGTTTTCAGAAAAAAACTAGACCCGCTTGCAAAAGAAGATACAAATTCAACAAAGCTTTTTACTGCCTCAGGTTCTTTGTCGCATCAAACCGCGCGACACCTCGACAATAGGTAGAGATATGAAATTAATAACGTACAGGGCGTTACCATAAACGTGACACAATGATGGAAGTTATACCTATATAATCGAAATAATAAAACCAAAGTATTACGAGAGGTCTATAGTGGGTGTTTTGTCACAGGACAGTAATTGATATAGGCAGTTACTAAGAACATCGAATTCAGAGATTGCCTCTTCTTAATGAATCACCCTGTATTATATAACATCTATGACCCCTCTCGTTCTTCTTACCTTCCAAATCCTTGGGTTCGAGGCAACCGTTCACCACGTAGAACTTCAATTCATCATCCATATGGACACTCGCACTTACGTTCGTGCTTTTAAAAGAATCACATCCTTCGGTGTAGATGGTCGACAGTTGCGTCAAAAACATAAATTTAAACAAGCAAACACGAATCATGTCTGGAATTTCGAGCGGCAGTTTGATAACTAACTGGAACTGGCCAGATAGGTTGTTTTTGTAATCAATTTTGATTGCCGAAATACAGTGCCGGTTTTACCAGGGGTCTTTTGGGTGCTATAGCACCAGGCGGCAAAATCTTCAGGGCGGCTATATGAAAATTCAATTCAATTCAATTTATTACATACCTACAAACAAACAAAAAATCATCATATTATGTATTATTAATATTAGAATCGTTGAAATACGAGGATTACACCTAAACATAAGTGTATGCTTGTATTGTGACCAATCCCTATATTTGAACGAATGCATTTCATACAGTATTTGACAATAAAAATGTGGTCAATGGAATGAGTACAGGACATAATACAACACACACATTATACAACTACACATCTTTTGTCATCAGTCATTATCTGGACATTTTGATTTTTTACGCGAAAGATTTGATCACTACACTACCCAAATTGACATATATGTTAAGAAGTGAATCATCCCAATTAAAGCACAATTATGAGAAAAAATACGGCAAAAAGTTCAAACCAGAGAGAAAAATGACGGACACACTAAACATTATTTCGAGTTTCAGATTTGAAATTTTTCGTCGGACTTCCACCTACAAATCTTGTTCAGGATCATTCGACTTGCTGTTCAAGATAGTGTCAGCATAGGATGGAAATTTGATCAGATTGGCATCTAAACTACAAAAAAAGTTTGTAGAGGATCTGGACAAATTTGTTTCTGACAAAATGTTATCCATCTGAAAAAAAAAAATAGTTTTCTTTCCTAGAGACTAAAGCAGAAACTCCTAGTATGAATCAGTCCAAGTTCTACACGAGAATAATGTAATATAATATCTTCTTTTCCCAATATGAATATTTGTTTTTGAAATTTGTGAGCTAACAATTTTTTCTCAACTCAAACAAGTTCTACTGAATGGAAGTAATGTATATATATAGAGCTTGTGAAGAGTATCATACATAAAGGCTTGCGTTGAAGCAAGAAAACACATTTTTGTATCGTTACCTACTTTATGTTTCAAGTTACGTATCTATTATCATTTGATTTTCGTTTTTTATTCTAACATATACCTATTCATTTTCCTTGTTATTCATCATGTGAACACTAGAGAATTATAATTTTCAATTTTATTCCACAACATCCGGTTTGTTATATTATATCTTTCATTTCGTTCATCAAACTTCCATGAAAAAAAACTGGTGTGCGTAGAACTTCCATGGTATTGGTACATTGCTTGAATGATTATGCAGGTCTTATGGTACGCGGCACCCGGGACGCGAGTTTGCCGTTTTACTCCCATCCCAGAAAACGTCCAACGTGCCTAAAGAATTTATTATCACTTCAAAAATGTGTCATGGAAAAAATCCAAAGACCTGAAAGATCAGAAATATTTTTGATTGTGAAGGGCGGCGCATCCATCATATAGCACCAGGCGGCAAATCACCTTAAACCGGCACTGCCGAGATCACAATGGTCGAATGGAAATTCCTGCATTTTTCAGTGATAACCTTGTAGGTGATATCATCAGATGATTGACCACTAAATATCGCTGCGCCTTGAATTTCATCATACAAACGAAGGTGAGATTCAATCGGTAGTCACTGACACCTTGTTTGCCAAGTGTTCGAGGGAGAAGAAGAATATATAGGTATACCTACCTATATTCAAAAGTATGAGATTTCACTTTGATCCAGCAGCTACTTAGATAGTACGATGGTAGGCGGAAAGGAAACAAATTGTCTATTAGAAGTACAGCAGTTATTTGAAAAGTATTAACGATCTTTCATATCCAATGTTTACCTCCTCCCTACCTGCTATTCTATCATTTATGTAACGATAGCACTTCTAGAAACATATTTTTTACTAACTTAATGTCTTGAACTACATAGATACCCAATAATTATCATTAACTTGAACAACAGAAACAAATGACATACAAGCAAGGTGTCACCATGTTTATTCACATAATATACCATTAGATTCCGAATAACCTTTTGTTTCAGAATTTTCGCATATGGTCGAATGGATGATATCTATCTATAAATAATAACAGGTTACTACAAAATGCTTTCCTGGATGGTAAGTTGACTAAGTATACCAACTTTCTGGTTGGTCCGACACGAATAGTTACACTTTACCTCTCCACTAAACATGAAAACATAACTTAAACATAAATTTTATATTACATTGTTACTCCGTGATTTTATTCAGAGAGATGCTCAATGTCACTGATAAGTTGCAGCAATTGGCCTTATTTGTGCCTCTTTTGAATATAACCATGTAATGGTAATCATATAAATATATCAGGAATCACATAAAATCGATGTTATTCCATAACTTATATTGAATTTTACTCAAAACATCTCAACAATATTGAATTGAATCTGATTATTTTCTAGGACTTTTTAGGTTATGTCTATTTCATCTGGAATGATCAAGAAAATCATCTGAATGATCTTTAGAAAAGGCAGATAAGATGATCTGTCGCTGAATATAAATGTGTTAATGAATTGATCCTGGCGTACTCCTGAAAGACTATGACTATGATCCAGTTTTTGAGTATCATTTTAGATATTCTGCTTTATGAACCCAGTCATATCCACCTTGGCTATATGACTTCTGCATAATCCGGTGATCTCTTTATTTATTTATTTATTTATTTTATTTATTACAAATTTGGGATACATACAGGTTAAAAACCCAGAAAAGTATCCGCTAATTCCTAGTTGTTACAATAGTATGCTAGTTTCAAGTTAGATCTAAGTTGATTACATTAAAAAATATATATAAATCTACGAAAAAAGCGCAAACTGGTAGAATAAATTATGCTGGTACAGATGAGAAAATGTTCTTAACAAGTTTCTTAAAGGAAAGTGAAGATAAATTGTATATATCTAGGTTGTTACAGAATTTATTAAAGCTAATACTTAATCTAATGATTGGAGAGTTTCGGCCTAAATTAGTATTTCTATGGTCTATGTTGAGAAAAAATGTGTATCGAGTATTTCTAGCAGGAGTGTGTATAGAGATCAAAGATAATAATATGGGAGAGTCGTAATGATTCATTAGGATTTTGTACATAAAAACAAGGTCAGTAATTGTTCTTCGCTTTTCCAATTCTAAAGTGCCAAACGACTGTCTAGTAATGCATATATTCTCGACATCATAGGTTCCGTTTATTTTAAAGTTCAGAAACCTCACAAATTTGTTCTGAACTCTTTGTAACCTGATGGCATTCAATATATGCGAAAGGAAAATAAATAAATTTGCCCGATGAAGGATAAGACTCGATTTGATAGTCGCTTAGGAAATTAGGTTGAATCGATAGTTTTTGCATGCCGTTGCTATGTAAGTATTCCTATGTCTTCAGCTTTATCGTTGAACGATTAAACTGTGTATGACTACGAGCAATTAAATTACTGTTTGTTTAACTTTTTTGCTCCATAATCACATAGAATGCTCAATAATGCATAGACAAGCTCAATATTCGTATCTTCAAGGCTACTAGAAGGTTATAAATTCCGAGACCAAACATGGTATACCAGTTTCAAATAGATCATGTAAATATTCCATAACTCAATAATATTATACTGGAGGTCATCAACATCCATTCAAAGTCAATTATTCTCTGTTTTGTAACACGTGAGATCAATTACTAAAAGTGCATCCCAAAAACTTGGTTTTCTGCTTCGGGCCGAGCTATTTCACTTCCAGTCAGCTGCTCATGATCTATCAGGCACAAATCCGACCTGTCCTTGAATACTGTTCCCATATTTGGAGTGCAGCACCCAAACATACCCCGAAACTGTTGGATTCTGTCCAAAAAAGGGCAATTCGTCTCGTGGGTTATGCCTTGCTCACGAACTCACTCACTTCTCTGGAACACCGTAGAAAAGTTGGCGATCTGGATCTATTTCATATATATTCTCATGGACGATTCTCTTCTGGAATATCAACAATTATTGTTCCTCCCTTGGCAGTCCCCGCGAGATTAACCCGTCGAGTTGAGGCTTCGCACCCCTTCGTGGTCACTTTGAAGACCTGCAGAACATCTCTTTCCAAAGACTCGTTCATCCAACGAACAGCAAGGCTCTGGAACACATTGCCAAGGGAGGTGTTCCCCGAGGCATATAACCTCCAGATATTCAGAAGAACACCAATTCCCACCTTATTTCCCTTGGTTCTCACGATGTCCTCTGAACATTTCAGGATACCCCCTTCGTGGAACCATAACATAAAAAAAAGTAAACGACTTCAGAAACCTATAGATCTTCTTGCAGTTGCCAATTCGCGGAGATTGACCAAACTGAGTAAGTAATAATTAATCTCGTGTCATCTCAGTTAGATATACATGTAATGGCTTCAATGTGACTCATAAATGTGAAGAAATTATTTGATTATTTTTTCTCGAAATAACTAGAATCATTCATTATTTCAGTGCAGAGGTTTTATGACAATAGATCATATTTTTTTATTAATTTAATATAATCAATTGATGGAGAATTATTTCATTATCAGTCTGACCTAAACCCGAACCTATACCTAACGTGTATAGGTATAAATTGCTGCAAAAAATTATGAATGCTGTCATTGAGTCGTAAAAGTACTGAACTGAACTAGATTCTGTGGATGGAATTGGATAAGTTGAACTTCAGATAAAGCAAGTCTGATGATAGACCAAAAATAAGAGAATATACCTTTCATTCAGAGTACATATTGGTTGAAAATGTAATAACTCCATCAACATTTCAAATTGATAACGAACACAATATTATTAAATACTGTCTGTAGGTTAATCGAGGAGGTGGTACATTCATTATTCCAAATTTTTTGGGATTTTCTCTACTCGTTTCTATAAAATAAAAATATGAATATTATTTCAATATACGTGTAGTAAGGACAAATCAGATGATTTGCCCCAAAATGTCACTGCGTTCAAAGAATTTTCCTATCAGAGAGCCAAAAAGAAAAATTCACTAGCTTGTCAGTGACAATTTGTATTGAAAAA